CCACAATCTACGCACTATGACATAGGTACCCACATAATCTCCAATAACTTGGAACATTGGGAATTATACATTTCACCCGCATAATAGAAAATGAAGCTCTTGCAGTAAAAATGTGCAAAATATCGCAAAAACTATTGATTACACCACGTAGAAAAATTCTTCCTATATTCATTATTATATAACAATAGATCCTATATTTTTAAAATATTTATCAATTAGCACATCAATCTACATTTAATTAATATTACCGGATAATAAAATACCTTAATAATGTTGATTGACATGATACGTATTAATTTAATAAATTAACCATCGGAAAAATTTAATATCAATAATGGTAATTTAGATTTAATGAATTACACAACTATATTAGCAAACTTTTATAAACATTTATATTGCAAGCAAACAATTATATAATTGTTATCCGTTTTTAATCATTTTTGTTAGAAAATCTAATCAATTAATTTAAAAATTATATATTATTTTTGCAACTAAGTTAGTGCGGGCTTTAGTCTTAGACAGTTTCAAATATTTTTAGGTTAACTGACCCAATGTGAAATGCCTTTTGTTATTGGATAGTACACATTTCATGTAAAAAAAGTTTTTTTTTATCGATTATGTAGTAGAGAGATGGGAAATTAAATCGAATTTTTTTGTCACACTTTGCTTTTTAATTTATGCAAAGATAAAAGAGCATCTTAAGCTTACATACAGTTATGCCCTGTCCGTTATTGTAATGAAGCCCTAAAAAGCGGCAGTGACAAAATTGATTTGCCAAATTTCGTTCTAGTGATTTTTCAAATATCATTCAAAGATGAAAAACGCTTTGGTCGTCCAGTTAATGTTGTATAAGAAGACATTGTCTACTTTGAACAATTATCACCAACCGAAAGATCAATTCTGATTATCTAATGTCTTCATTAAAAATTAACGACTTAAATCAGCGAATGAAAACGTTGATTCATTAGATTATTAAAATCACGTATTGGCCACTCGTCAAAAATTATATGGTTGGAATATTTAGCCACATCTTTACCAAATAGTTCTGATCTTACACCACCTCATTCCATTTAGTTTCGATCTTTACAAAACGACTTGAATTTTTGCTAATAAAACCAAGAAGTTTTAAGAAAGTGGCATAATTATGTTGCTTAAAAGATGACAAAAAGTCAGTTATCAAAATTGCCAAACGAATAAAGCTATTTAATTTTATGAAAAAAATGTCTAAGTTTTTAATATCGAATTCGCACTTAGTAGCCAACCTGATATTAATAACTTTCTTGTGACTATGAGAAATACTAATAAAATATAATAAAAGAAAAATATATTGGTTAATTAAAAAATTAATATATTTGTAAAGCGATCGGTAAATATTTTTTATCATTTAGAATGACAATCAATTGATACGCAGAAAAATAATCACACATTTTATATGATATTTAAGATAAAAGATAATGAAAAATTTATGAGCTAAAATTTTAAATTTGCTTGACAGTAACCATAGAGAAGACTGGGTACGATTGTGCTACTTCTTGTATCAGCAACAATTCTGTTAATTTACCAGTTAGGGAGAAAAATAAATTAAATGGTAACAAACATTTGTCTACATGGAAATACTGAAATACTGCCCTTTAATACGATGAATTAGTCATAATCTCAAAGTATACAAAAAAGCAGACTATAAATAGGTTGAAAAACAATAGGTATAAACACCAAAATTGTTTATAATGTCTTTAATTGTTATAAATATGTAACACAACACAGCGTAACTACTTAAACAAAGCTTATGATTATAATGGTACAATTTATAGCATTTTTTTTTGAACAAAGTTAACACAAAAATTTTTTTTCGTGTGTTGAAATTTCCTATCCCTTTCTCTTTGTATTTTGTCTTACAATTAGCTAACATAGATTTCTTTTTATCAGTTTAATTTTCAACCGAGAAAGACAAGACGGACCGCCACATGTCACAACTGTACCCAAATGCACACATTTGAAATCATCGTTATGACTTAGCTAAAAATTCTACGCAAAAACTAATTTCTGGTCATTAACTCCAAATGTTCAAGTTAAAGCAAAATAATAAACAAATTGATATCTGTATTAGGGTGGTCCTTAATATGGACATTTTTGAATTTTATTGCTCCCAATGTCTTAAATGCTTCCAAATTGATAAAAAAAAATCTAAAAATTTTAGCTCTTAATATTAACTTTTAGATAGTGCGCAATTCAATCAACGCTTCGTATGGGAAAAGCATGGAAAAAATTTCGAAAATTTTACATATGTTTTTTAAGTATAACTTAGCGACAAATGAATTAACAGTGACAATTCGTGTCATTTTTTATTGAAAATTCGACGCTCTGCAATACAGGTTTTTTACAATTTTGAATAAAACTCATTCATTTGTTCGCTAAGTTATATCTAAAAAACAATTTTAACTTTTTTGAAAATTTTCCCAGGCTATTTCCATACAAAACTTTGATTGAATTGCGCACTATCTAAAAGACAATATTAAGAGCTAAAACTTATATAGGGTTTTTTTTTGTTATCAATTTGGAAGCGTTTGAGCCCCTGGGAGCAAGAGAATTTCGAAAATGTCCATTTTAGGGACCACTCTAATATGTATACAAGTAACAGTTATTATTAAAAAAATAGAACAAAAAGGACGAAACTGACTCAATGCAATATTGGCAACTTGTTCGAACAAACATAAGTATCGAACACTTCGTTTTTCTCGTTTTGGTTCCAATTTCAAAATCAGTATAGTTTAGCTTTTATGGCAACTGTTACTAGCATAACCGTACCCAGTCTTCCCTAATATAAACGCTTCCATTAACTTTTTATTAAGAATTTGATCTTTTCACTGTAGAACACGTCTACTAGTTATTTATTTAAAATAATAAAAATATAGTTTATATTTCTACAATGCACACAATGCAATTGAACAAAACATCAAGTAAACACACAATTTTTTTCACTTACTAGAATTCACGGAAATCACTTGACATAAACTTTGTATATGATTAGTTTAATATTATCTTCGATTTGTATAGGTATTTGTCACTGCAAAATGCAAAAACAAAAACACACTCAAATGAACTTCAACTAAAACATTTACTTTAACAATGCAGACATCGACAGCAGCGAAACGCGGTTTCGTTGTTAGCGTTGTCGGCGTTTGTTTTGAACTGAATATCCATTCCTTCGGTATGTTGACTTGATAGCGATAAGCTACGTCCGGACACGTGACTTGCGGAGCGCTACGCTGCTACGCTGCTACGATTAGATGGGGGGCTTCACGTTGCCGTACGTAAGTGATGCACGATATTGTACAAACCTTACGTTATATATTTTTTTTGGAAATATCGAATTCTGAATTAACAGAGCTAGACCCAATCAATTAGATAAATACACTATACTCTAACATCTCTAATATATTAAATTAAATTTAATAATGCATAAAATAAATTTAGTGGTACATACTGTTGTAAGCCATAAGCCAAATTGCTGAAAATTTCCGTACGGCAATTTAAGATTTTTAAAAGTTTAAAACGCCCTTGAAAATTTAGAAAAAAATAGTTTTTGAGATTTTTGAAATTCCTATTTAAGAAAAACGAATTATTGAAAATTTTGGAAAATTGTGAATGTGAAAATTCGACTTTTTTGTTAATTTTGAAATTGTTTTAACCCCATTCAAGTCGATTGATTTATACTGTCAAAAATATCATCAGTGAACTTCA